ATACGAACCCTACGGAAACAGGTTCCATGCATTTAGGTCCTCTACCAATTTAATTAGATCATTAGGAATAGGTTGTCGGGCCTCTCTGCCTAAAAAGCCGGCTTGCAAAAGTATTTGAATGCATACTCAGACAACATCGACGTCATCCATCCGAGTAAAACCATCTTTCTTATTCAATAATCTCGTCAAGTCTTCTACGTGTAAATTCGACTTCTCCGTTGACAGCTCAGGAAAAACCCGGGAAAACCATGATAGGCGGGTAATATGACTAGTGTACCGATCTACATCATCGTGTCCGAAGCGTAGACCAATGATTAAGCAAAACTCCTCCCGCCCAAAACACGTATACGCCGGTGGAAAATCAAACCATATCTCTTCATCACGACGTTGTATAGTCTCTGGTAGATCGCTAGTCATGGTTTGAAGAAACAGATGGGTCAACATAGCATCTCCACCGGATGTTGTACTTTCAGCCATGGCCCGAAGCAAGTATCCATCAAATATTTTTCTTTGTGCAGGTGAAAGCTTCGACGCAATTGTTTTGGCCAGGCTTACTTTATTTCTTAAGGTCAATTGAGCCGAATAAAAGTTCTGCAAAAACAATAAACATACCAATTTAGATATATCAAAAACTACACTGTGAAGATATGAACAATAAACATAAAGAGTAGTAGTTTATTCTTCAAACTTAAATTTGCAACACTGTGAATTTAGTATTTGTTTTTTGGTTGAAGTAATGCAATTCATTCAAGTTTCAATTTGCAGAAGAATAATAGTTTCTGAAACTTTAAATCGCAACACGAAAATGAAAATCGCAACACGAAAATGACTATCGCAACGCGAATTTGACTATCGCAACGCAAGAATCGCAACGCGAAATGAAAATCGCAATGACAGAATCGCATTGCGATAGTCATTCTCGGTTTCAAATACTAAAATTGAAAGAAACTTGAATGGATTGCATTACTTCAACCAAAAGACAAAAGAAAGACAAATACTAACTTCACAGGGTTAAAGACTAAACAGTTTAGCAGTATTGGTAGTAATCGAATGAATATAATAAGCAATCTAAGTGAAATGGTTAATCTATTATTAAAAACACCAGTAAACTTATCATCAATTTCAATATGAAAAACCTAATAATAATGCAAAAATTTTAAAATAAAAATAATTAAAAAAACTAACCCTCGGTAGTTGATTTTATTTATTTTCCATTTCTGATCGTGAATGATTTCGCCGGAGATGGAGACTGATATCGTCGGCGATGGGGACTGATTTCGTCGGAGATGGGGACGGATGTCGCCTTAGAGAGTGAGAGATGGAGATGAGACTGAGTTGTGATTTAGGATTTTAGGTTATGAGCTGCGATTACGGGATATACTGTGGATGATTTAGTGTTCCGATATATTAATATATTCGTGTTTGGAATTTGAAAAAAAAAATACGCGTTGGATACAAATGGCGTTATGTAAATCGCATTGCGATAGTCAGATTCGCATTGCGATTTACGTATTCGCATTGCGATTTACGTATTCGCATTGCGATTTACGTAATCGCATTGCGATTTAGGAAAATCGCAACGCGAATTTGGGAAATCGCAATGCGATAGTCAGAATCGCGTTGCGAATCTGAAAATGATTTGCGATACTGGAGATCGCGTTGCGAATTATCGATCGCATTGTGATTTAGCAAATCAAAAAAAATAATTAAAATCGTATATTATAAGACATTTTTAATCACTGAAATTATTTTCTGTATTTAAAATGAACTAATTACATCTTAGGAAAAGTGAACTTTGGTGGGGTCTTATCAAATACCCCAACGGTGAAGTGAACGGTTACTTAGAGGCCACGTGTCGAGCTCCAAACTCACATTAAAACAAAGAATCGGGTGCGACCCGGCCTAGGTTCCGTGGAGCATCCGCTACCTTTCTAGAGGCAGTCAACATCGACCAATAGTAGTTCGCCACGCTCACTCAATGTCTCAATCATTCGCAGGGATCAACACGCTTTACGGGACCTATTTATTATATTCAATTATCAATAAAAATGAACTAAAAATAACATCTACCATTTAAATTAAGACTGTTTTAATGATAGGATTGAGGCGTTGATCTCAAGTGTTAGTTACATTATAGGAAAATATTATACGAGTCTAATTTTTATTATGATTTGAGTATATATATATATATATATTCGATAATTAATTTTGAATTGGTGTCCCATTTAGAGGGCCAAACAGTCCAAAATACACATCCCTCTAAACCCTCCTCTTCTGTCATTTCCTTCAACCATCACAATCTTATCTTTACATTAACATTATGTGGTGTTAAATTTGATTGTAAAATTGTCCAAAACTTTAAATAAAAACGTTGTGCATGCAGATTTCAACTACTTCAAATAAAAATCAACGTGGGTCCAACCTTCATTAATTAATTTAAATATTAAAACTAAGATTAATAGTGTTGTTATTTATAGTAGTAGGAAAGTCTAATGTAAATGTTTGTCTTGTCCTCCTTTTTGTGGCCAAATCCTTTGAATATTACATCCTCTGCTCACCACTGATAGCCTTGCCCATGGTGCATGAATTGTGTTTTTATGAAGCCACATTTATGTTTTCATTTTAAAAATGGATGGACTAAACCTCAAGGTCTAATAAAGTACAAGGACCGGTGGCATATTTTGTCCAGAAATTAACAATTTTATTTTTGTCCAAAATAAATACCATTTGTCCAATTTTCCTTTTAGATGTCACTTTGATAATTCTTGGAAGCAGTTGAAATTAAAGGCTGTTCCAACTATGAAAAGGACATGTTGTTTCCCCCTTTGTCCAATAGGCCGAGCCGAATCCTTTACTGAAGGCGGGATTTCATGAGCGATGTAAACCAAAGTCAATGTGATTAGAAATTGGACGAGTATTTTGAGCCTATCACATTGATATATATATATATATATAATTATAAGTTACATTTGTACGAGAAATTACAATTGAATTATATTAGATTTTTTTAAGTAATCATAAAGTTTAAATTTAAATTCAGAAGCAAATAAAAGATTTAATCTCTTCGAAAATATACATGGAGACTTGATTAAAAAAAAAGGAGAATTTTGAAGTAATTTAATAAAAGATATTAATGAACGTAGACTTTGATGGATTTGTTTGGTTACCAGTTTCGCTAAATTCACACGGCATAACATTTTTTATTTTATAAATATAATTGAATTTTGATTAAAACCCTTATTTTCAAGTAACGTGGGTAAATAGAAGCAAGTAGAGGGTTTTGTTTTTTCTTCACAGTAGGTGGTGTAAGAAACAGACAATCAGTTTTCGCAATTCAAAGAATTACAAAAACACTGAATTTGACAAAGAAAATACTAAAAAATATACCAAATTAATAATTAATTAATGCACCAAGAAAGAACAGTGAAACCCCGCAAGGAGGGGTTATATTATGCCCCCACCAAGTCGATGTGACTCGCCTTATCCACAAGTATGAAAAAATGTCCCATGTTTTCCGTGTAGAAATAAGACTTTTAGCAGTGAAATTCAACATTATTTGTTGAGAATTTATTTTAAAAAATATATATTAGTTAAAATATTTTATTAATTTTAATTTAAATAAAATTAAAAGTTAAATAATTAATAACTTAATTGAATTCCTTGACTCGAAAAAAGAAATAAACAACCAAATAGAGAAAAAAAAAAGATAAAATTTTTGTATCTTCAAATCAGAAATAATAAAAGAGAATATATTTTCATTCATTTAAAAGTAAAACAAAATTACAAAAAAATGAATGTTAATTCTTTTTAATAAATCATAACTAAATTTTAGAATAGTGTACATATTTTTTATAACTAAATTTAATAACTTATTATATACACTTTTTAAGGACCAACTTAATAATTTAATATATATTAATATATATAAAAATTAAGTTGATTTAATGGGATGAGACACTAGATCTCTTAATAAGGTCAGATATTCAAATCTTGGCGTTTGTAAATGAATAAAATTGGGTTGGGAGGGTCGATTTCAACTCTGTAGTACTTGATCATAATTAATTGATTAATAAAGAAAAAATGAAACAAAAATTAAACTTGAGATATGATTTTGAAAAAAATTAAAATTTTAAATACTAAAACTGATCAAAACTGATAATTTATGTATTAAATGTGTAGTTTACCTAAAAAATTGAGGGGCATGGCCCCTCTAGCCCTTTACTAGTTTCGCCTATGAAAACTTTTATTTTGCACCTATTTGATTTTGATGTACAGATTCCTCCAAATCTGAATTTGTCATTGAAAAATATTTGTATAATTTAGATTGAGTGATTCAATTAAGTAAATAAAATAAATTAATTCGACGATTTAATTATATGGTTTGAATAGAAATTTTTTAATAAAAATAAAATACTTGAAAGCGACTGAGTAATAATAACATAATTTGATATAGAACTAATTTTCTCAATTCATGAAAGCATTGATGTTGACTTAACCCTACATATACTCAAATCTCAATCACATGGTAGCTATGGAAAGGGATTGAACAATAATAACAAATTTTGAATCTGAATTGTTCATATATATATATATATATATATGAAAGAATCTAAGAAATTAAAATTTTCTGAAATGTCAAAGTTCTTGTTAAAATAAAACTTTTATCTATATCTTACTTGAAAATTATAGAACTACTTACCATTCAAAGAAAAAATGATCATTATATTTATGTTAGTGAATCATAAATTTAAGCATGAAATTGAATACATACCGTCTGGATAAACAATGTTTAGAATTTGATGGCAGTGCTCGACAAGAACATATAATTCACAATGCCGTATGGCCATATTTGCTTATTTTGGTTCAAAACCTTTGAATTGTGACAGTAGAAATGGGGATGAAAAGTTCACTGTACATAAATGGAAATATCAAATATATTAAACCAAACCAATGTGTAAAATGAATCAAAACATCCAAATGGATACATAAGTGATCTCATTCACAAGCATTATATCCCTAATTAGTACAGCAATTTGATTTTGAGATGAAGCGACTTTGGTGATTAATGACTACTTGGAAGATGCTAGAATGACGGTTTGACTGAGGAGCATTTACTATGGCTACACCGGAAACAACCGTCATGCGGTCCCAATGACACGCACATGAAAAGGAGGTCCTCGACAAAAAATAGGTTCATCGGGTGATTCGCATTTTGCTCTGGCTCTTAAAACGTCATTAGCATCGTCGATTACAGCAGCAGCAACCATGGTGTACTCACCCGGGACGAGGAAGTACAACGAAAAACTATGCTTGCCTTCTTGAAGTGGAGGAACCTCCATGGTAATTCCACTTAGAACACCTGATTAACAAAAACATAAATCCTAAGCAAAAGAAATTAAGGCATGATCCACACACTAATTGGCCCGTTTTTCTTTTCTTTCTCTTTCAAAAAAGGGTTCTTGAGATTTCTCTGGCAAAACTAAAGTTAGAGTATGTTTAATGACTATAAAATGGTATTATGGAAACGGAGATACGGAACTGCCGTACAAAGATACCATAAGACGAAAGGAACTAACCAGCCCATAGGACAGATGCCTTTGCGCCATCCACACAGTTCTGTCCTGCCACATCTCTGCATGTAACACTAAGGCTCATCTTGATGGTTTCCTTAGTGTTATTCCGAACCAGAACTTCCATAGGAGTCATATCATGTGCAATTACGGGATTCTTTGACGTAGAGCTAGTATCGGATTCTTTTGGTGAATCGAGTTTTGTAGCATTTTCAGAACCATTTCTAGCAAGCCTGAAGCCGAAAGTCAGAGGATCCGGCAACAGTATATCCATGATGGATGACTGAAGGGCTGCTCGTATAGCATCTGTGATGTTCAGTTCTCCAGAGCTGTTCCGTCCTGATTGCCACCTGACTTTTATTCTGGAGGTGAGGCTCTTAATGGAAGCATTTAGTTCAGATTTTGTATTTCTTTCTGAGAAACTAGAATCTTTACCACCGGTGGACCCATCGGATTGCATATCTTTCGAGAAAAATGAATCATCGAGAAAAGGTAACTTAAAATGCTCGAGTGGTATTAAAACCCTCGAGAAGTATTCCCTGTCGATTCTTGTTTTAGGATAACCATATTCAGCAGCATAGTCAACAGAAACGTTGCCCTCGCTGCTCGGTTTTTCCAAGACAAAAACACTAATTTCAAACACGACGTCAGTTGGATTAGACATCTCGAGCTCGAGAAAGCGTAATCCCCAGCTTCCTCTAAAAGGATCAATCTTCACCAATCTTTCTATCTTACTTCCACAACTAACAGATTCATCTGAAGGGTTACCATCCACATTTGCCAGATTGGAAGGACTCCCACTCACATGTGCAGGAATCTCCATGGAAAGCAAACGAGCTTTCACAAAAGACAAGCCTTGCAAAACACAGATTTGTAGTGGGACAGCTAGACGTCTTCCAGGGGGCACAGACGTTTTGTTTTTTTCAAGATCCCCAACTTCTCCCAATGGACCTGAGAAAAGAATGATGAACTTCAGAAAGTTCTTAAGTGCAGTTCAAGAATGATGGTACCGTGGAGAAGTTACTAATCATTCAAGTCAAATGAACTAGATTATGTTAAGCTTCAACTTTTAAATTATGATTGCATGCAAATAATTAACTGCAAGGAATGGGCGATGATATGCATCAAAGCTACTAGCACTAATACTGCAGGACTACGTTATAAAAGAAATCATAAAAGATCAATTCATCCAATCTAATAATAAAGCAGGAAACAAAGAAGAAATTAAAGAAACTTGGAAAATTCCAGAATACTGCAATAAATGCATCAATGGGCTATTGACAACAAAAGGGAAATCTGCTTCAGTTGTGTGAGACACTGAGTGACTACCATATAAATTTAAAAAAAATACCTGCATAATGGATCAACAATGAGGGACAGCTTCCGTCCTTCACAGTTCTACCCATGCTCACAGAGGCACTCTTACCAGCTGCAGTATCACTCTCACCCAAGCCAAGTTGCCAGGCTTTCAAGGTCAAGGGTATGGTCACTTCTGCACCAGGTTTCAGTGGAAGAGCAGATTTTAATTTTTCGAATCCGATTGAGATGACAGAATCTTGGTTTTTCCCGGACAGTGAAATGTGAGCCTGCTCAACTGCAATCGTGCCGGCATTAGCTAGAGTTATCCATACATCTCGAATTTCACCTTCATATAGAACAATGGCACCATCACCACCTACAACACGTGACATGAGCAATGGCAATGGAGGTATAACAGAAATATTCGGCACAGATACATTTCTCAACCTTGGCGACCCACAGCAACGAAAGGGATCAGAAAGCACAAGTCCTTGTGCAGCTCCAAGGAGCAAATTATCAACATCCTTAAAATGGTGTTCAGTAATTACACCAAAACAATGAACGGTGCACCCTGGAATCACCACTCGTCCAACAGATGTAGGGATTCCAGATAACATGATCACCTGGGATGAATTAGGTGGGAGATCCACATTAAGGGGAAAAGGATCAAAATTCCCCGATTGCACGGAGAGATAGATGCTATCGACTTTTAAATCAAATCCACAAGGGTTAGCTAACTCCACAAAGACCTGAACTGGTTCACCTACAATCCAAACCAAATCTTGCTTGCTATTATCTGATGACTCTCCCTTGCTGAATGGTGTATAGATAAAAGGTCCTGAAGGTGCAGATCCTGCCCACCAATCTTCTCTTGCTGGATTGCGTTTTACAATGTCCATTTGCGAGGGATGGAGAGGAAAAGAATACACCCTACATTTATAGACAATAATTAAATCTTTTTGCCTATGGAGGAATTAGGAAAGTGAAAGCCAACAGGTTCTTCATGATTGACAAAATGCAAATACCGAGACCTCTGCAAAAGAACTCTATAGGGAAGCAAGCAGAAAAAATCCATGCAAAAACTAAGAGAACAGAGAATGTCTGATCAACTACCTCTCATAAAATATCCCCACTATCAGGTGCAGCAGAAGTACAGCAACCATTAGAGTGATGAAACAACATATCCCCCCCCCCCCAAACAAAAAAATATAGATGAATTCAAAGCAGTGAGACAAACCTTATGAAAGGTAAGGCAGGGTCAGCACATCGAGTTCCTGAAGGCAACCTTTCAGCTGCATTTTTCAGTGCACTTGCAAGGCCATTTTGTCCAGCAGGTGTAATCAGAGGATAGTAAGATCTTAGTAGCCTTGCTGCTGCACTCCAGGCAGTAAGAGGGTCTCCTGCACGAACAGCAGATAGAAGTATCTCTCGCAGCACAACCATCTGCAAGGTGCTCCATTGTGATTCAAACAGTGAAACCACTGACTGATGATGCAATTTCCCACTATCAGCATGCCCTGTTCCAGTTTCCTGCCATAGAAGAAAGAATATATTGATGGTAGTCTAGAAACATTCAAGTGCCTTTATAAAATGTGCACCACAAAGTTTGCTTCTATACTCACATTAGAAATAGAATGATATGCACTGGATGCTCTACTTTGAACACGATATGCTTTGGTGGTCATTGCCAGGACTTGCATGGCACTGGTAGCAGCATGTCTATTTTCTTGTTGTAGGTATAACTGTGCTACCTGCCTTGAGAAGAAGGCAGCTTTGCGTTGATAACCAAGAGTACCAAATAAACGAGCTATTTCAACATATAATATGAGTCTGTCGCTGGCATCGATCAAAGATTTTGCACCATCAGCAGCATTGGTTAACAACTCCACAACCTCCTTAGTCAGTTCTCTCCTACAATAACCGCAAGAACTAAAAGTAAACTTTCTTTCAAGAATGTATTTTTACAAGACTTAACACATGAAAATACATACAAAATCTTGGAATTTATACAGGCCAATCATAGAAGTGCCTCCACCTCATTCCTTCTTAGAAAATGTATAAGTAGCAGCGAACAGATTAACACTACAAAACAATGGTAAACAAAAGGGATAGCTTTTTTTATTTTTTTGGTGGTGGTGGTGGTGGTTTGGGGGGGGCATGAATGATACAGCCAAATTGTCAATATGCCAAGATACATTCCTAATTTATCGAATGAAATGTGTGATCTCCCTACAATTGTTCTCAAAAATACCAAGGAGCTATGCATATCATGTTCACAAGCTAACTCAATAAGATAATAATGACATTAAACATTGGAACATACCTGCACAGAAACCTGGCCAATTTCAAGGTAGCTTCAAGTTCAAAGGTAATTGGTGAAACTCTGCATTTAGAAATAAATAGAAGGGTCAGTTCTCAACAAGCTAAAGACAGATAAATTTCCATTTATTAGTAACATATGTTAACACTTAGTACTGCACAAGATTAGGCTGACACAAATAAGGTGCATCATAAAGACTTCATACATTTTGCTTGATAAAAGATTCAAATGAAACTGGGTGCAACACAAACATAAATATAACTTGGAAGAAGGGGATAGAGAGCAGATGCCAAAAGCTACAAATATTTGTAACTGAAACTGAAAGAGGTGCAATGAAAAATGACATTAGATACCTCTGAACATTGTCTTGAATGAAGGATTTCCTATAATGAGTAATGACACTATTGTACCGATACCTAACCTCATCCTCTACACTTGTATCCTTCTTGTCCATTTGATCCACCTGATGATAAGAAAAATAGATATATAGTAGGTGAATCAATTTCATGGCATACAGGCAGATATTTACCCACAATTAAGATTCAAAAGAACAGTATATCCTAATCTTAAAAACCCCCATCCAACCCTGGCAAAATAAAAAGAAAACAATGAACTAGAGAAACAGATCAGTCCTTATACATGGGATAAATCCTCAATTATAGAAATGAAACATCATCTAATCAAATGCGATAAATCCTGGAATTTAACACTTGTCACTAGAATTGACAGTGGTGATTACCGAACAAATGCCTTACTGTATAATTTTTACGAGACAGACTTATAACTCCAAGAGACTTTCGTTAAAAAAGCAGACATTTATAAATTTCAATAATAGACCTACCAGCCGTATCCATTTGTTTCCATTGAAGATTATCTATAAATGTAAATAAGCCAATGAGTTTTAAGGATCCATAAAAATAACATAAAAGCAGATGTGCTTGATTAAGAGTCTGCAATTACCAGTATGGCACAAACGCTACCTTCCAATGCCCCAGCATACCAAAAGTAATCTGCAGTTAACCTGGCTAGCTCAAGTGCAGTCGTATAATGCGCATTTGCATCAACAGGTGATCCTGCTAACAAACAATAATCCCCTATTGTCTTCTGAGCACGAGCAAGTCTTCGTTTTTGGCCTTGATCACCTGCATTGTTAATTTATGCAAAACATACTGATCAAGAAGAAAATTTCTGAACAGTATACAATTGGTCCACACAACAAGAGAAAAGAACAGATTAAAATGCTTAGGATGTCTAAACATAAACCTCCTCCGAGCTAAGTGTGGCTTGAGAATCTAAAGGCGTCTTCAAAAGAGTTCCCGAAGATTCTGCTTTAAGAACCCACTTCTCAAATTCCATCAATAATGAAGCAGCGATATCTTGCATCATCGTCTGTAAGTGAAACTCCTGCGTCGAACGATCCGCAGGAGGAAATAGAACCATATTCTCTCTTCTTACCATCAACCAGCTACAGCAGAAAGGTAATTAAACCAAGCAATTAACCAATGTGTAGTTTATTAAGATAAACAAATAGTAAATAAAACAAGCTGAATTATCCTTAAAATATATAGAAAGAAAAAAAATCTAAGCATTCCCGACACGCCTGAATCTGGGTAATATAACCATTCATTCAGCAAATTACTAATAAATTACAAATAATGAAAGTAAAAATCATAACAAATAACCAGAAATCAGCATCTGGTTTCCATGAGAAGTAAAACATCTTGATTAATGAGAACTCACTTGAGAATCGCCAGGACAAAAGGCGAAGCAGCGAAGAACGAGAGCAGATGAGTAACTTTTGCAGGCGGCATTGAATTGTTCGATGACGACATCAAGATCCGGAGAAGAAGGACAGTGGCAAATGCCGATCACGCAGAGGATCTTGCGATTGGGCTGGAAATCTTCCCATGGACTGGGCGGGGACCCGCCCAACAGGAATTTGAACCGGAGCGAGCCCTTGTCCCAGGGCTGGTGGGCGAAAGGGGATTTTTGGTGCTCCGTGTAGAAGGAGCTGATGGTGGAGAGAGGGATCGTGTGGTGCGGCAGAAGCATGGAGTGGTAATCCCGCAGGAGAGAAGGAGGGACGTTGCCGATTGGAAGGACGGCGATTCGGATCATGCACGATGTCTCGATGCTCACGTCGGGTTCCATTTTCTTGTGAGATCGGACGGTAGGGGCACGGGAAGTGTAGTGGTGATAGCGTGGAGATGGGCGTGTAAGATTACGAACATACGAATCGCGCCAGCGGGAGAGGCCCCTGAACCGAGTGCCGAGTAAGATTCAGGTCGATAAATGGGGTTGTACCTTACTATTTGATTCCTTTATTTTGTTCATAAAGAACTCAACTTCATTTTTTTAATATATATATTAAGTAAAAAATATATTTATACTTTCAAAAATAATTAATATCATCTTTAAATTATTTTTGTGTTGCAACGTGGTATTTTATTATATTAGTACGATAGTATATGGTGTTGAGATAGTCTATAATAGTAGGTGACATGACAGAAGAGTTAAATTGATTTTTTAAATTTAAAGATTTATTTATTTTTAAAAAATATAAAAATGTTTTAAATTTTGAAAATAAAATTATTTAAAAAATAAATATAATAAAATACTAAAAAATTAAATTACTAAAAAATAAAAATATATGCTATTATTATTTATATCAAATTTAACCTGATTTCTATTTGTATAAATTTAAGTTCATTCATCATGCACAAATTTTAGTTTATATTACGTCTAATCATCTTAAATTTCAAATGGCTTTCTAATTCTATTTCACTATATTTTTCTGAATTAAATAAATCTTAAATTTAAAAAAAATAAAACTTAAAAGTCATGAAATTAAAATTTATATATAAATTATTATGAAACAATACGTTTATATATATAATTAAGAAGAGCATTTTAGTGAATATAACATTATAAAGAGAAATAAATTTTACCTAAATTTGATAAAAAATTAATAGAAAAAACAACATATCCACCAATTTCTGTTATATACAACTCTATAAAGTTAATGTGGATATGAACAGTGCGTTTGAGGTTTTTTGTCACCCCCAATATTTATATATTTTTTAAATTTTCCAAGGAATAACAAATTGTCTCTACAAAACAAAAATAAAATAAAATAAAACTTATATTAGAATTGAAATGTACAAATATAACAATATAATTATAATACTAAATAAAATAAATCTCACATTAAAACTCACCTCTAAATTCAATGAATCATTTACCATTAACATTTTTAATCATTATAGTTAATTTGTTTTTTTTTGTTTTTTTGTAATTTAATTTTTATTTTTTAATATTTTTGCATTTGTATATTTTCAATTTATAATTTAAAATATTTAAAAATAAATAAATAAGCCCCTGAATTAAAAAAAATGAAAATTTAGCCCTAAACTCAATCAAAAAAATCAACTTAACCCATCTGTCATGTTATCAACCATGTCATCAGCCATTGTGGAGCGCCACATCAGCATTCTAGATTGTCACTTCAATATTACAAAATGTCACATTAATATTATAACGGTCAATGATAAAAACAATTGGTCAAAAAATCATATTGAGTTCTTTCTCTAAATTTAAAGGTATGCAAAAACAGTTTGAATGTCACATTGATTTTCTTTTAAGTACAATAACCTTAGATACCTTTTATCAAAATATTATTATTATTATTTTAAATAAAGTGAAAAGTTGATATAAAATATAATAGTAATATCAAAATTTTGAATTATAAATTGTATTGTACATTTGATTATAGATGAATTAATTATATATTAAACTGAGATTTAATTAAGAAAAAATAATTGTACATGTTAAGCCATCTTGATTTAGCATGACAAAATTGTGAATGAAATTAGTTTCAAAGAAGCTTACACAGCAAGGTCATGAGATTACCAACAAAGAATCACAAGTATTTCTGCATAAATTTCGAAAACAATAAATGAGAGTTTATCATACTCGAATTTAGATTCAGATTGATCGAATAAGGTTTTCAAAGTTTAAGTTTAATGTTTAGAACAAGAATGTAGAGAAGCTGCACCATCACCATGAGAGGAATCTCAATCTCTACCATTTACGATTCGGATTTCTAAAATATCTTTAGGGTGCGTTTGGTTCACGGAATGTAAGATTACCAGTGGGAATAAAAGATTACCAGAGAATAGGATTATTGCGAATGTTACATTACTGTGTTTGGTTGGTTTGGCAGGAATGTAAGATTACAATGTTTGGTTGGATGAATAAAATATTACTGGAATGTATATTTTACCAAATTGTCATTGTTCTATATTTTTTTAACAAGTGAAATTCTAAATATTTAAATAAAAATTATTTATATCAAAATTCTATTTGTTGATAATATATTACTTGAGTATTTAAATATATCATGTATTATTTTTATTTTAATTAATATTAAATTTTACATAATTTATGTAAAAATATATTAAAATTTTACATCAACATTTAACTAAATGTTTACATTGTGGAAATTCTTCATAGATATTCATAATAATAAAAAGATGTAAATTATTTTTGTTATTTAAGATATAATATTTATTATATCTTCTATATACAATAATTTATTTATTTATCTTTTATATTTATACTTAATTATGCATACTTTATCATTATTATTTATCTCATTAATTTATATTACAAAAATATAATTAAAATAAATAAGAAAATATAACACTAAAAATTATATTATCTATAATTTTATATTTAACTGTCATTCATCATTATCTTTGTTAATATTTTAATAAAATATTTTTGTCTTCTCATTGTGCTTTAAAATCCATTATTTTTTTGCAATGCTTAAATAAAATCTTATTTTAACCAAATTAACTATGGAAGGGAAATACAGTAAGAACTAATTCGTTTTATAACTTATTTTAACCAAATTAACTAAATCTTATATAATCGATCTTATGAGGTTATATTTTTTAAAATTCGATCTTATGTGGAATATTCTCTGAAGTCAGGACAGGTAGAGGTCGAGTGGAGGGCATTAACTTTCGGACAAGGGTCGGGGGTAGGCCGAAAACTCGACCCACCCCACCCCACCCGTGCCCATCTCATCAGGATGAGAAGTCTTGACTCTTCATTTTCCCTCGAGTATCAGCTTCTAAAGTATGTGCCGAGCATATATATATACGGAGATGCAACTTCTAAGGATTCTCGAAATACATGAACTTCTTTAAAAAAAGGTCACCATACCAGTGTGAGATACATACTAGCATCCTACACTCACACTCGAGTCTGAATAACATGGGGAGAATCATCTGTAAAAGTAATAATTGGAACTCGATCGGTAAAACCCTGCAACTTAGCATATTAACAGAATCCTATAAAAGTAAACTGGCCCCTTCATGGCTCTCAACGCCAAGTCCAATAATTCCAAGAGAATCAATAACTGCTCATTAGGGAAAACAACAAAAAACAAAACATTAATAGTCTTTGACAACAATGATGAAGGGGGGTGATCCTATATGGTTCCTAGTTCTCTATTCAGATAATCTACGAACATCCTTTTACCGTTGTCAGCATCAGAAGGCGGAAGTCGCCCACTCAAACTTGTTTGTCCCGTTAACTTGATGAACGTACGCCGTAGTCTACGTAGCTCAGGCAATCCAATAGGTCGGGAAATATCAATACTTGGTAAATCCTGACCGATAGAAATAGCAGCAAGTGGTCCTCCAATGGCTTGGGATTGTGCCTCCACAATAACATTAATCACCTCATGTGTAGCTTTGTCCATCTCATACAAAGAATTTGCATATGAAAACCGTGTTTTGCATGGCGATCGTCGGTTGCAAAACCTTAACATCTCGTGATTTCGAGTCCACTTTTTTCGTCAAATAAGAAACTGCATCCGCAATGGGATCACATGATTTCTCCACGCTATCAATTTGAGGCCTCAACTGGAACAATGGTGAATCCCATCTGTTTCTTCTATCCGGATTCTCGAACCTTCTAACTAAATCCTCAAATATGACATCATTATATGCTTCCTCTCCTTTCTCCCTACGGTCCTCGTTCCATTTCCTACACTGCATATCCTCAACATCGCAATAAACGCACAATACCGTATCCCTGCAGCGCGAGCCAAACACCATAGCTCATATCGGTAACCCTTGATACTATTCAAAAAATCAACTATAATGATATTATCTTTGGACACATATCTATCAACTTCAGACCGGAGAACTCCTCTCAAGTTCTTCTCCGCCGGCATATAAGCATAACTCTAATTGTGGTTAAGATGAAACGAAGCTTCATCAATGATCCTCACCGTCTGTTTGCATTCCGAATCATTCAGAGCTTCAACCAGACATATTGCAGCCGTGGATTTCCCACTGCAGGGCTATCCACAAATTACCACTAATGCCATTTTCTCTTGAATACAAAAACTGGGTTATTGAGAACTTAGCTGCCCAAAAAATAAAAACAAATTATTCGGAAATCAAGATTGTTCATATGACTAGCTAAAACTGTAAATATTCTTTAATATTTTCATATTAAAAGATGAATACTCATTACATTCAATTAAAGCAAAATCAGCTTCCCTTCATGGAATCATGATTTAAGAAAATTATAATCCAATTAGAAACAGGCCGAGTCAATTACCCGAGACTAAACGGATAGAACTAAGTTCTACATCGTTTTTCAGCAAAACCCAGAATCAAGGTAAAACGAAATATAAACAGAAAAACAGAAAGAAAAAAAAACTTATGAAACTAGTGACAAATCAGAACAACGCAAAAACGAAAAGTTCTAAATTGATAATTTAAGGGGTGGAGATGTTACCTCAGCGTAGATTTGAATCGCAGGTGCCACAGATAGAGGAAGGGGCGGGAGGGAAGAGAAGTCTATGATAGGAAATAATTATAGACATGGACATAAACACCCAAGACACATAAACTGATAAATCTGAAAATCTAACAGATAAAAGTCAGATCCCATACCGTGGAGTTCAATCTGTGCCGTGGAGTTCAAGAACAAAGAACGGGAGAAGAAACATAGGCAAACGAAAAAAAAGAGGGTATTTTAGCTCTTAGAACCAGGAATAAAAGAATACCTAAGAAAAACAAGGAATTAACATTGTAAACAGAGAAAATTTTTGACTGAAATATATTATTACTCCCTATTGGAAATATTTTCCATCCAAACATGGGAGTTTGAGTCTGGAAAAAAAATATCCACAAGGAATCTTGAATTCCATAATCCAATTACCCTTAGAATCCCCTCGCTAACCCGTCGGCTACTTTAGCCCTTGTCGGCATCCGTAAAATTCTCCATGGCTGGTGTCACAGTCTTCCGGGAAGTCCCCTCCCTATTTTCTCGCAGCGGGAGTATACGACTCATCTTTTCAGCTAGTTCCATATAAAGTTTCTCTGCCAAACAATACCAGACAATCTACATCGTGAGAATCCGACAGTGGTTTGCGATCATCCATGGGGTTCGAGGGCAAACTTGTCGGAACGAATTGACACAAAAGCACTTTCTCAGGTTCATCGACAACTAACAACTAAGCTGGAGTTGTTTGCAAAGCGCAAATCCAAATCAAGCTTTGCAATTCAAGTAATAGGTTTGTCATGATTAACAGCGTGAGTTGCCACATTTTAATAGATTGAAACATTTGGGTGACCTTAATTCTTTTCAAGTGCTGGTTCCTGGCTCTCTGTTCTTCACAAGTACCGTGCATCGATGCTATCTCTTGCTCAATGAGTACAAATCGATTGTAAGATAACCTAATTACAAAAGGTTCTGGTCATTTTAAGTTCTAATCATTTCATTTCGAGTTCCAATCAAAGGATCATTTCAAATTCTAATCATTTCCTGCAGAAGCAGATTCTCCTCTTCCTTGCTTTCCTATGCCTACCTGACTAAATGGGGAACAGGGAGCGAGCATTCATTGTACAAAGCACAACAAAAATTTAAACACTGAGAAATCACCACTTTAACTAATAATTAAAATAACTTGTACATAAAGTAATCTTAACACGATTCACCACACCTACACTTGTTCAACTTCAAATGAATACCCAGAAAATTTAAACCCCAAACTAGAAAATAACATGAGCTCGTAGCAAAGAAAGATAAACCCAGTGAGACCTTTGCATGTTAAAGCAAATAAAGTAACTAAATCCAGACCAAGTTAAGCTTTACAACAGTAGGAAAAGCTAAAACCTAACATTTTTCGATCTCTCCCCTTGAAAAAATAAGGGATGACCGAATATCAAAGAACCTTGACGAATTAATGCAAAGCTACAACTACAAATCGAGCCTCAGCATCCTCCTCAAGTCACTTGTGGCATCGCTGTTCTTTACAGAAACCTCAATCTTCTTAGTGAAAAACGCCGGCTTCGGAACGGAGCTTGGAGGCGGCGAGGTTATGAAGGCAGACCCAGCATAAAACGTGACTGGGTTGACCTTATTGTTGTTTCTGTTGTTTGATTCGGTAAGTCGTGTCTGGGTCGGAATCGACCACGGATCTGGACCTAACAGATTAGTTGACCCCAGATCTACATCAACGTTTTCCTTTTCGAACCTAACGGACTTCCGGGTCGACGGTTTTTTTAGTTCTTCGCCGCGTTTGAGGATCTTGACTTGACCCATCACGAGATTTTTGGCCCGAACTTTGGGATCGGCAGATGGAGGAGTAGGGGAGATGGTCGGAGACCGATTCCTACGGTTTGAGTGTGCCCGATTCCTACGGTTCGGGTTCGGGAAATGATTTTTGTGGTGTTTCATGGGATTCGGTAGCTTTAAACAATCCTCTGGTTTTAGAACTGCAACACCCATGGCCGGAAAACAATATAAATATAAACAATAATAGAGAATTAAAAGAGCTTTGAAAACGGAGATTGAAAGAGGCTTTTCAGAGAGGAATCAGCATGAAAATTTAATCAATTAGGGAGAGAAGAAATATCTTTAAAGTGGTAAGGATTTGGAACATGATTATTGTTAGAATAAGGAGGGGAATTTATAGAGGAAAGCTAAAATGAATTTAGAGTAATTTCCTATATGTCGGTTTGAAAGCTACTCTCTCGTCATGGCGGTGTTGCAACTTGTCTCTTTTTATGCATAAGTTACAATACTAATACATATGCTACACCTACTTGATGAAAGGGGAAGATATCTCAATAATAATAAGACAGTTCAAAGATTAAGAGGTTCTGTGTGATTTATTAAAATGACATACTGATTTTAAAAGTGAGTCGAGATTTAATGTAATTCGGTTTTGTTTATTTTTATGAACAAGATAAATAATAATTTATCATAGATATAGAAAATATAAAAAATATAAATACATAATATCACATGTATCTCAAAATTTAGTATAAATATCAAAACCTAGTGTATCTTAAAAATTCTCTCAATCCTTATAAAACTATTTTTACAACATAAATCTCAAAAGTTATAAAGATTTTAAAAAATATTACGTCTCTCCAAAATAATTATCTCTATCTATCAATTATGCTAAATATATAATTATTAATACTAATTATAATTTGAGTCAAAATATAACAGTTTTTTAAAAAAATCGAATTCAAAATATTTTTATACTTCAATTAATTGAAGTTAGAATATAAACTCAAACTTAAATTTTAAGTATATGAAAATTTTATATTATATTTAAAAAAATATATATATAAATATTAATATTGTTAATAAATTGATTTTTAAAATATAAAGTATTATTCGTATTTGATCGCAAATGATTTATTTATGTTTTTTTTAAATTAAATTTTATTTATAATTTTATTAAGAATTGAGTGACTTATATATAATTTACACTAATATATTTTTGGATTTTAGTTAGTCCAAGCCGTAGCCAGTAAGGCAACATTAAAGAATTCAAGATTTTTCGGGTGTGTTATTCACGGAAAATAAGGCGCGTGGAGAATTAGTTGTTAGAGGAAATAGCCCACAAAAAACTCGGTCACGATTTAAAGAGGAATGGGTTGTGTCTGACGTGGGTTTGGAACCAGCCGATGGCATAATTATCCATCATCTTAACACTTCACCCTTGTACTTAATTTTATTTACGAAAACACCCAATATTCCCATTTTGGACGACACGGTGGGCCAGTTTTGACGTTTTATTAGCTTGTGGTTTCATGCCACGTACTCAAACTTTAATTGGGTAAATTAAAACTTTTGGATTATTTTGAAAGACATCCTATAATTCTAACATAGATTACATTGGTCTCTAAAATTCAAAAAGATTGAATTAAGTTTGTTATAATAGAGGTTGCCACGATTGTCCGGCGAAATTAGGGGTTCGCAAAGCCATACTCACTATTGAATGGTAAAATTGTTAATTTAGTCCTTTTAAATTTTAAATATTTTAAATAAGAAAATTATAAAATTATATTTTGGCTCCATGATCAATTTTTAGTTCAAGATTTTATAAATATATAGAATTTTAAGTTAAAAACAATATAAAAATTATATTTCAACATTTCAAAAAATCATCAAATTTGTGCAAAAAAAATCTAACTTTATTACCTATAACCGATATGATAATTCCCATTATTAAATAATACAAAAAATCCATGAGATTAATAGTGTAGAAGGCGGTGATGAAGTTTAAACAGAGTTATGACTTTTTCTATTTTTTCTCAAATCAATGAGTATAATATTTTTTTTAATAGTATGGGACGATAATAAGATAATATTTGTTTAAAAAATTTAACTCATTGACAACGCTTGTATATTATACATACACCACTCAAATCTAAAACATCTAAGAAAATTATAATCTCTTTTATCACTGAGGTCATTTAACAAATTCAATAAATATAATATTTATATGCAAAGATATTCTATATAAAATATATAGATAAATTTAAACTCCTACATACCTATTATATCAACAGTTTATAATTCACATGTTTTAAAATAAAATATTATTCCTAAAATTTAATGATAATTTTTTATTAACATGTTTAGATTGATTTGGAATCCATCTATTTTAAATATTTCAAGAACTGCATAAGAAGGCTCTAAAGTTTAAGGATTGATTTGGAATATAATATAATTTGGGAGTGTGTTGTGTAAATTAACCCTACGAATTTAAATGCAATGAAAGATACTGGTGAATAAAGTAGGTTTTGTAATTAAGTGGAAATGAATGGGCACTTGTTGAATAAGAAAGAGCATGACAGAGAGACGGACAGCTGGAGATAACCCGTGTGTAACGTGCCAAGCGATGATTGGGTAGACGTATAAGTGCGAACTCGTCGGAATGCTGACAGCCGACTCAAATTTATTGAATTTAGTTTTTTTTATTCAAATTGATACCTCAACTTATATTTTTGTTCAAAATTATAGTTATAATTTTTAATCAATTTTAACCAATAAAAAAGTTACATTTGTGTTAGGTAGGTCGAATACCTAAAAAACGTCTTTTAAAAATAATTTTAAGAAAAAACATTTTTTAAGACAAAAGTTGGTATGCGTTTACCAAAGATTCGATTAAAACATGTTCGGGAGTCGGTTACGCGTGGGGAATGATTAACACCTCCACAGTGCCCAAAATTGGTACTATGTCGCTTACTTATTGTAATGGTAGAAACATGTTAGATTGATTTGGAATCCATCTATTTTAAATATTTCAAGACTGCATAAGAAGGCTCTAAAGTTAAGGATTGATTTGGAATATAATATAATTTGGGAGTGTGTTGTGTAAATTAACCCTACGAATTAAATGCAATGAAGATACTGGGAATAAAGTAGTTTTGTATTAAGTGGAATGAATGGGCACTTGTTGAATAAGAAAGAGCATGACAGAGAGACGGACAGCTGGAGATAAACCCGTGTGTAACGTGCCAAGCGATGATTGGGTAGACGTAAGTGCGAACTCGTCGGAATGCTGACAGCCGACTCAAATTTTTGAATTTAGTTTTTTTATTCAAATTGATACCTCACTTATATTTTGTTCAAATTATAGTTATAATTTTAATCAATTTTAACCAATAAAAAGTTACATTGTGTTAGGTAGGTCGAATACCAAAAAACGTCTTTTAAAAATAATTTTAAGAAAAAACATTTTTTAAGACAAAAGTTGGTATGCGTTTACCAAAGATTCGATTAAAACATGTTCGGGAGTCGGTTACGCGTGGGGAATGATTAACACCTCCACAGTGCCCAAAATTGGTACTATGTCGCTTACTTATTGTCGTAATGGTAGAAATCATGAATTAAATATCAAGTTAAAATATGATTCATTTATTGAATATTAATTAATTGCTTCAAATTAATAACTTAAAAGAGGAAATTTAAAGGACTGAAATAATAACAAATAAATATTACAAACCTAAATACAAATAGCGAAAATATGTATTTAAATTTATAAAGACCAAAATAGAGAAAAACAAAACTTTAAGTATTAAAATAGCAAAAATAGAAAATTAAAAGACTAAAATAGAACAAACAAAAATTTAAAAAGCTAGAATATTAAAAAATAGAAATTTTGAAGACCAAATATCACAAAATGAAATTTAAAAGACTAAAATAGAAAAAACAAAATTTTTTAAGTTTTAAAGCAGTAATTACAAAAACTCAATGGACTAAAATGATATTAATAAACATTTAAAGTACTAAAATAACAAAATAACAAAAAGTTAAATTATTAAAATAATAAAAACAGACATTTAAAGGACTAAAATAAAAAAATAGAAACTTAAAGAGTTAAATAGTAAAAAATATATCAACTAAAATGACTTAAACAATAATTATAAATAAACTATAACTCATATAAATATTAAACATTTCAGGTACTGGAAATAGAAAATAACCCAAAAATATTTAGGACTAAACTGAAATAAACAAAAACATGAAGCCCGAAACATAAATAACCAACTGTAAATATGACTAAATGATAAATTTACAAATCATGTGACCAAATTCAAATATTAACATACTATAAATAATATGACTAAATTATAACATACACAAAAATAAGAGATCAAAGTAAAATATATTAAAATTGCATTAATTAAATAAAAGAAATACAAGATAAAGAGGACCTATTTCGTAGATCCCCTGCGCGAGGTTTGCTCACTAAGTCATTCATGAAACGACATCGTTTCATTTTATATATATATGCCCAAACAGGCTTATATCCCACATGTTTCCTCATTTGTTTCTCTGCATGAAAGAGAAAAAGGAAGAGCAGGGAGAGAGTTCTAGAGAACTCTCAAGAACCGACGATTATTCGTCGTGCCGGCCATCGATGATCGGCGGCGACCACCATCCGCTGTCATTGGAAGAAAGAGAATAATGCTACTGAAACATTTTTTAGCCACGAGTATGAATTCGGGCTTTATTTGGCCTGAAGTGGTTTCAAATGTCGGAGATCTATGAAGAAACGTTTCGGTTTCTTCGACTCCAGCGACGTTTGATGTTTTCGGCGGTCCACCAAGGTGACTTCTCTCATTTTCTTCTAGTTTTCCCAACACGAGCCTTTTTATATTTTTTTTGTTCGAGACACTCCAACTGATATCTCTTTTTTTCTCCCCCCTTTGTCAAATATAATTGCATGCATTTATAGTGAATATTGATTGATATGTAGTGAATTTTCATTAATGTTCGAATAGTGGTAGGGTATAACACTACCGATTTTCTGGATTTGTTTTAGTTTAAAAAATGCTTAATGGATGCTCCACTGATTTTGTGCTTTTTTAGTGATATTTGGTGTAGCAATGATGACCTTCGGTGGCTTGGTGGATCGATGGCTCAGTTGATGTCTCGGCTCGACCATGCGTCGTGTTAGGCGGCGTCTTGGATGTTGGTAGCGGAATCTTGATGTTTAGGTTTTAAAACCCTAAGTGTTGAGTGATCTGGACCGTTGGATGGGTTCAGATCCAATGGCCAAGGCTGATGTAGTGCTATATTAAGGTCCAAAAACTCTAATCTATCA